ATATATATATATACTGTATATATGTATATATATTTTTTTGTTTTTTTAAAGCAAAATTTTATTTAAGTTTTTTTTTATCATAATATGGGGTAACAAAAAGCTTTTTGCAGTATGTGTGTCGTGTGTGTGTATGTATGTGTATGTGTGTGTGTGTGTGTGTGTGTGTGTGTGCGTGTGTGTAGGAGGTGAAGACGGCGGTTTAGCAGCGGTGAGAGCAAAAGAGGAATCAGAGAAATTCAAAAGGAACGAATTCCACTTTTGGGTTGATTAGTAGCTTTGTGAATAATAGGGTTATTATCATGCAAAAGCACAGGGTTGGTCACGTAAAGCTGATTAACAGCGTCCAACATTTTCGCCAGCAAATTGGCGCGTTAATGCTGTCGTTTCCCTCATCTCTGATTAACATTTAACCTTCCTCTCGCAGGGCGTCACATACGATGCCAAATTACTGTTGTTTAAGATGACATGGATACACATTTTTGCAGGAGCACTGGCCGACCATCTTTTAGGAAATTGTGTAAAAAATAATAAAATAAATAATAAAAAAAACACAATGTATTTACATAGAGTAACCAAACAAGTGGCCTGTTCGTGAATATATATTGTTTTAAAATTACTATCTGTCCATCTGTTGGGATATTAAATAAATAAACAAACAAATAAATAAATAAATGTTTGCATTACAAAATTAACTGTTAACTGTTTGTATAAGTAAAAACTTTATTTTATAAGTAAAAAATAAATGGGGGTTTTGTCAGAGCGCTTGCCAGCAATCTGTTGGGATACGTAAATAAAATAATTAGTTATTAATTAATTTTAGCATAACCGAAGTATACTGTACTGTTTGTGTGTAAAAATAATAAATCAACAAAAGTTATGGTATACTGTAAAAAAAGTTTTTTGAAGTTGTAAATAGACTATTGCAGTTTTTTTTTTTTTTAAATCTAATTTTCACATTTAAATTAATGTGTTACTTGCCATTTCTTTGTAATTATACGTGAAATTTACTAGCATTTTCTGTGTTCCATGTTTCTACACCAATTTTTTTTTTTTTAGTGTAGATGACTCATCAACGGCTGAAGCCTTACCTCTCTCAATAGAGGTAAATACTCATATTTACTTTACAATCAGACTGTAGTGTGGTAATATGTACAGGGCATACAAAGTTAATGTGAATTACAGAAAAACATAACTACAACAAAATGGCTATGTAAAAAGAGAACACCTTTCACTAAAAAACTAAGATTACAGCTTCAATAAGCAGAAAGATACACACATTGCGCTTCCGCATAAACAGTGCCGTAGAGAATCAGTGAACCCCTACCAGCCCGGACGTGCCGCTCGGACCTCTAATCAACTGTAGAACCCAAACCGCGGTGCATTGGAGAAATCACAGCGATGTGGTGTGTATCGTTATCAGCCTAAAACGTGAATTTGCATGGCTTTCATCAGTCCGTGGTGAGCTGTCAGAGAGATCGCTGGGTTTGATTGGGCTCTGGTGAGGAGGGGGGAGAGAGAGAGCAAGGACGAGGCCTGAAGACCACTGGATGTTCATGTTTGTTTGATCAAAGTGATTTTTTTTGTAGGCGGTGGAGCTGACCAGCGGTGGTGCTGTGCAGCCTGGACAGTGTTTGGACATGAAACAAGTTTGCATGCAGGCCCACCAAAGGCTTAAAACACCAGCTTTCTGAAAGGTCAAACATCTGTACTTTTAGATTTCGCCCATGCCGACTTATAGGACAGCCACGTCAACCGTTTACAAATAAAGTACTTGCATACGATACATATTAATCAAAAATGGCATGCTTGCTATTTGATTAGTGATTAATTTAATAGTGATTCGATTTGCGCCATACCAGTGTTAATTTAGTATCCTTGAGATACTATTCTAATTTTTACTATTCTAGCAATTTTTTTAAATGTATAGTTTTTATTCATTTTATTTCAGTTTTAGTTTTAGTTATTAATTTATGTATATTAAATTAAACTAAACGAAAGTGAAAAATGTTGCTTTGGCAACGAGCTGAACTAAAATATGTAGGGATGCACCGATACCGATACTGGTATCGGTATCGGGCCCGATACTGGTCTCCTGTACTCGTACTCGTACTCGTTAAAATGCCCCGATACCAAACGCCGATACACACGCATCATTTGGATTAAAACGAAAACGTAAAAATAAAACCATTCATAGGGGCATTCACTATAAACAATTTATTTTCAACCTTAGGCATACACGACTTTCTGGCCAAAAATATCGGTATCGGCAAGTACCAAAAATAAAAGTATCGGTATCGGGCGAGTACTGGAAAAAGTGGTATCGGTGCATCCCTAAAAATATGTTACTTTTTTTTTTTAATTTGATGTTATTTGATGTTATTTTATTTTATTTAAATTTCAATTTATCTCAAGTAATGAAAATTTTTTTTATGGTTTCTAGTTTTAGTTAACTATAATAACCCTGTGCCATCCTATTAAACAAGTACGAAAAATTACACGTGTCCACATCGATTCTTTCGCTCTATTTTCCTTGTCCTTTTTTTAGCTAACAATTTCTTTCTAGAAATGGATTTAAAAGCTACAGTACATAATGAATTCCCTTGGATGTATAATTTATCAGCAGCGATTAGTGTGAATCTTAAGGAATGAGAGTCTGTGTAATGTACACAGGAGACGGGCTGCCTTATCTCAGCTGCAAAACTGACACCGGCCCAATGAGAGGGTTCATGTTTAATGTCAGCCCGAGCGGAGGATGCCCAGATTCCGCCAGGCCAAAAACAGCCCCAGCACCTCAGAGGAAATAGTTAGAGACATCTGGAAAACTCCAAAGGCTAACATCAAAAAGAAAGGCAGCATGACATAAAACAAGCTGGAAGAGTCGCAGACCGGCAAGCGATGCGGGAACGTTCAAATGAAGACAGACTGACTGGTGCATGGGTTGTACATAGCGGCTTTAGAGACCAAATGAGAGGGGGATAAAATAAAATAAAAAAGCAGTTAATTTGCAGTCAATACGGAAGTGTGCACAGTAAACTTTTCGAAAGAGAGATCCAGATACGCTGGGGAATCTGCAAAGATGGGAAAAACATGGCATTACGATGCACCACTAATGACCGCGCTAGCTTTCTGCTTACATCCCGCAGCCTTAATTGAATTTGTCAGAGGGATTTTAGACGACTGCGTGCTTACAACAGAACACAATCACAAACATGCCATCACTCAAGGTCCTAACCCACCCGCAACAGAACAAAAGATCTCTCAATTAGTTGATTTTCTGCTGGGGTTGCCGTTATCGCAGCCAGCGACGGCAGCCAAGAACACGAGGAATCGCAATCCCCTGAGCAGAGATCTTGTAAAGCTTTATTCTTCAGCTTCCCAGGCTGTTTAGAGGCTAATTTCACAGGCAAACAGATTATGGTAATCCGTGTAAACATTAAAACACAACAGCTTGCTGTTTTCCAGGGGGAAATTACTACTTAAGAGAGAACATATTGATTCAAAACACAGTTCTACAAATAATGCATTCACGCACACAAGCTGTAATGAGACAGACTTATTGAACTGTTCACCCACCCCACCTCCAATTAAGATGTGAAAACTATGACGCCTTTTAAGATACACATTTCTGTTAAATCCGTGGGGAGATGATAACATTTGCTACACCTCACAGTAGGCTCCTACTCGCGAATCACCTGAGTGATAAATCCTTTCGAAAACTTTCCAGTCTTGGAAAATGTTCACATAGTTTTCGCCTGTTCACAAACACAGGATCATGTGTCCCCCAATAAGTGTGTGTGCCTAAGGTTACTTTTATAATAAATAAATCTTAATATTAAAGAAAATAAATACAAATTTATAAATAAATATAGAAACGAATTGATGACTCAACCTGCACGTAAGACTGTATTACTCAAATTATTTTTATAAATACAAAAAAAGTACCGTCCAATAAATATAGTACAAGAAGGTCTTCTCTTAATAAAACCAACTACTGTAGCAAAAGCAAACACCAACAATGTACTATGCATAGAGCATATAATTATGATTAGTGACTATGAACAAAAGGCTATAAATAAATGAACAAATAAATGAATAAACAAACTAAATTAATTTAAAATTAAAATAAAATTTATAAGAAAAAAATATAGAAGAAAATTAGAAGAAAATATAGAAGAAAAAATGTAAATATAAAATAAAAATTAAATAAAATATAGAAGAAAAAAAATATATATATAGAAGAAAAATAAAATAACATTTCAGTTTCTTTTTTCCAAACTTCCTGAAACATATCAGCAGGAGAAAGTCGCATTCGTCAAGCTATTTCATTTAATTTTTAAACGCATCCGGGCTTAGTACAGTCACTGGTGGTATCCCAAGCCATTCAGAATGATGATTCCCAAATTATCGCTTCTAATTCAGCTGAATGCCAGGTCGCGTTGAATGAAACATAGAAAACATACAAAGTGCTTTACAGAAAATCCAAAGTGCTCAGCAGGTGCAAGACTTTGCTTGATTTAAACGGGATATGGTATCAGACAGGCATGATTGAACATCATGCAGTAAAGAAACCGCAATACATGAACCAGAAAAGCTTCGCTGGTACACAGGAGCAAGGCAGAGAGCCGGTCTTAATGAGAGGACACTGTAAGAGAAGGTAGCGTCGGCCCCTGCTGAGGTGGGGTTGACACATGGCAGACCCCCCGCTCTCCGAAGTCTTGTTAAAAGGTCACACCTTGGTGACCATTACTAATGCACCAGCGATCTCCTTCATTACTGCCCTCTCCTTACCATCACACCTGACAATGCGCAAGCTGCTTTTTTCAGCTCGGCCTTCTGTTTTTCCTTCCCATTTGCGAGACAATACAACACCACAGAAATAAAGAGATCAATCTAGTTGGAGTTATGAAAGATGAAATAAAGCAGTGCATTTATGGGAAACAGAACAGAAAACTCACATATTAGTTGCGGTTAGACAAAGGGAGGGGAAGACCAGGATAAGAAATCTGCAAGCACATACGAGTTTGTGTGCGAGTGTATGTTTGCGTGTATGATATCACGTACCCTCTGGAGTTGAGCCGGGTTTATGGGAACCCGTCGAGCTGCTTTTGCTCCTTCTGCTGCTGTCACTGTTGACCGACAGACTAGAGCGAAGCTTTCTCTGCATGCGGTGCGAGACAGGTGACGGGTGCTTCCTGGACTCAGATGTGGGGCCGGCGGAGGGCGGCTGTGTGACCCTGCGGGGCGTGCCGTGGCCATTACTTAGCACCGTGTGCAGGCCGTTCTGCTGTCTGGCAGCCTCTCCGTCGATGCCATGTTGCAGGGATGTTGCTGGCTGGGGCAGAGGCTGAGGTTGAGCTAAAGAGAAAGAGATAGAATTTTTTGTAATCATCGGTTTGGACCAGAGAGACTTCACAGCTGGATTGGTAATATGGTGTTCTGGCTAAATTACTGGCCTTTTATAGCTTTTATTGTAATATTAAAAATTTAAAAACATGTTGCGAAACATGAATGACAACTTTAGTAAATTTCAAGTAAAAAACAAACCAAGAATTTTATATTTAGCAAATATTTACCAAAATTTTTATCACAAACTTTACACAGGGGATTCATATTCCATCATGCCCTGTAAAAAACTGAAATAAGGATTCTGTCTCCCATTCCAATTGCACTTAACAATCCCAGTTCATTAATGAGCTAATTATCAATATAGTTTAGTAATTTCAAGGGAAAATAGGAAAATAAAAAGCATGCAATTACCTATTCAAATTTAGTTCATCACGCACGAGTGCTTGATTGTATTTTTATTTAATTTGATTTATATACGTGTATTTCTTTTTTATAAAAACAGTTCTCAATTCCCAATCCTAACACTATGCGCTCCATAACCTGAATACACTCTTCCATAAAACCAGGCGCTTTCAGTCTTCGTACATGTGATACACATGACAAGGTCGCAGTCTGAACTGAGAGGCTCTATCTGATGCAACAGTAGCCATAGCAAAGTGAGTACTGTTAGTGACACTAGTGTGCGTTCAGCTCTACTGGGATTCTTATGTACTCTCCTTCAGGATACGCACATCATGTTTATTGGGCTCCTTTGAATTATTCATCATTTTCCTGTATTTCTGGATTTTTTTTTTTTACTTTATTCTGGCTTTTATGCAATGATCTTTGCATTTCGTCTGGTGTGTTTTAAGGCAGCAACACCTGCATTTCTCAGAGAGCATGTGAAATGAGTTTTCTCTTAATTACTTTTTTCTTTTGATGGGAGGTCCACACTGACTGTACTATTATTGTGAACTAGAGAAGAAATCCAGCCCACCTCTTTATAACAACATATCATCCTGGGCATCCTGCGCTGAGGGGAATGTAAAATAACACAATTAAAAACAGGCCATGGCGACCTCATCAGCCAGCTGTCCACTACACTAGCAAACAGGAGCGATAACACTGTCAAACACATGTAGGGAACCAACAGGATACTCTATTGGCTACCAAGAGGCTTCATTTGTTTAATTATGATTCAATTAATTTTTGTATCTTTTATAATGACTATACAAAGTGTGGAGTAGTGGTCACCAAAACTCAAGGCTAGAAGGGTGCTGGTCAGTGTTGTTATTGTTAACTAAAACTATTTTAAAATGTTTTTGTTAATTGAAATAAAGCTAAAAACACAATATAAATATTAGATAAAATATTTCTGAATTTTTAAAAATAAAAATGAGCTTTTAAAACAAGTTTTCAAAAAAGATTTATAATATATAAATGTATTCAAATTTAAAATAACTTCAAATTATTATATTTCAGTTAGTTGAAAGGCCACTTTCCTAGTAATTAAAGTACTTTTTATATTTATACGGTAGAAAATTTACAAAATCTCTTCATGGAACATGATCTTTACTTAATATCCTAATGATTTTTGGCATAAAAGAAAAATCAGTCATTTTGACCCATAAAATTTATTTTTGGGCTATTGCTACAAATATACCCGTGCTACTTATGACTGGTTTTGTGGTTCAGGGTCACAAATGGTCTTTTCACCAAGAAAATTACAGTAGCAGTTTTCATCAAGGTTTTTTTTAAGTAAAAAAAAAAATCAAGGAAAACTTCAGTTTCTTAAGATAACATCAGGTTGCTCCAAAAGGACTGTCCTTATAATAAAATTTACTGTAAGATGTTTTATTTACACATTTACTTAAAAATCGAATACTGACTTGCTAGTTAAAATTATGCACATTTTACATTTTCTATTTATTTATTTTTTTTGCACATCAACAGCCTTTGAGGTTTTAAAATCCTCAATACAAAAGCTCTTCATTGTCACTGCATGCTTGGTAGCTACCTTACTTACAAAGAAAGTCAAGTTTTAAAAACATATAAAAGCAACAGCAGTTATTAAAAAGCAATAATTTATTAACTGTTATTTGTACATCAGGACAGTCCACCCGGAGCGGCCTGGTGTTAAGTGTCCTGCCCTAGGGCACAACGGTGATGGTTTATGGATCCTCCCTTGCAGCATTTTGAACCAGACCTGATCTTTAATCACAACACTACATTACTTTCTGCTTCACCAGACAGCCTCAAAAGCGGCCCAGTCAGGAACACGTTCCACATGCATCTTGCAACACGTTGCCAACAACAGAACAGAGAATGTTGTGGGCATCTGGTGCACACTGATAGGATCGCATGGGCTTGACGAAAGCCCAAAGGCCAATGCAACCCACAAGAAAAGTTCCCCCTCGATAAAATATAAATGTTGCCTTCAACCCGAGGTATGATAGGTGATAAAAATTGAATACCCGCACCAAGCGTAAAAAACAAGCGTTGTATTGCAATCGGTGATTGTACACAAGCTGACAGGTCGCATTAAAACACCATGTTATGGTGCGGAAAGGAGGGAGGGGCGAAAAGAAAACAGTCCAAATTGGTCTTCTAACCGCTCTGCTTCCAACATATCAACAACTGTTGAGAGTGTACATTTGTAGTTGAATAATACATGGTATTCCTCTACACACTCTGTCAAACACATCACAGGCAAACAGGGGGTGAGTGCTTCTTGACTGTCTAAGTAGCATCCCAATTTGGTCCCCTGGATCTGACAGCCTCAAATATCCTGGGAGCATTTTTAAAAGGCCAGTGTTTGATGGATTCATGAAGAACACACAAATATAATTGCCATTTGTCACCGCACGTTCGGCGCACGCCCCACGCGGGGACGGTGAGCCGGGACGCCCAGGAGAGACGCCGCGCCACCGTGGCGTCGCTCTCTATGTAAAACTGTGGATAAACACCCCTTTGCCTTGGTGTCACAGAAAATAGCTCCGCTGGAAGAATTTGAAATTGTACCCCAAAGACGTGGAAGCAGAGCATGGCGGACCTCCCAAGAACGAATATGTATGAACGTCAACAGCGTGGAGCGGCATAAACAAGACGGTGAAAATTCGGTCAAGCAGGAGGGATGTCGGAAAGGAGGTGAGACGGGGCAGGATGTTCTCTCATTTGCGCTGCTCTCTATGGAGACTGAAAGGTAAAGAGAGAGAGACAGGAAAAAAAAGAAAAGTAGGTCCCTGTTTTTTTGCGGCTCGAGGCCTTTTAATATTTCATCCTAAGAGTGGAGCCGTTTGCTGTGCCCCATTAGGACGCCCATCAAACGGAACATACATTAATTCACTTGTCAAGTCATGTCATCCAGCTAAACAGCCCCCATCCATTTCTTATCATCATCTGCTAATGGCTAACAATCATTACCTGTACAAAAGAGTTGGCCAGTGAAAAAACACAAAGTACTGGTCGACAGTAAGAACATGAGGGTGAAAAACATCTGAAGTTGAAATGGTCAAGTTAGTGGAAATTTCTGCTTAAATGGTTTGATCTTTTGTAGGCTGAAGTTATAACTGATAACAAGAATAATATGCGATTCTTCCAGTTTTAATCAGGTTTTATTACAAATGATATAATCTGCCGAAAGCCTAAAGGTCTGGTTTTCATAAATATATTTTTTAAATGAAATAAATAATATTATCATTTTTAAAATGATAAAAACTAAAATATTAAAATGATAATTCATTACATATAATTATTTTAAAAATAATTAAATATAAAATTATATTAAACTGACAATATTATAAATACATAAAATCCATAATATTTTTATTTTAAAATTAAATTTATATGAAAAGATCAATTCTCTAATATCAAATAAAAAAAACATTCTTTGAAAAATACTAATAAAAAGATTGAAAAATAATCCTTCAGTCTAGGATTTTTGTATTAGAATTTGTTTAGCTCTGTGTATATAGTATGAATGCAACACAAATAACTGTTTAATGCTCCATGGGCCCGTCTCTCTGATTGAAATGCTAATTTGTAAATGTGCACTGACCTTCCAAGAGAGTTTCCACCATCTCCCAAAACAGCCCGGGGTGGCATTTCTCCTAACAAACACCTATGGCAAGCTTACACCTTTCAATCCAAAGCAATATACTCTCTCAGTTGAAATGATTTCCCCGTATTTATAGAAACAAAACCATGGGAATTTGGTTGGAGGGAAGGAAAGTAGAATGAATATTATTAAAAAAGGCTGCAAAAAAAAGCCTTCAGCATATTAAAAATCTTTTACGTCTTGACCTTCCGACTCTGTGGCAAGGTCTTACTTCCTGACAAGAGAAGTAAAAGAATTTAAATGTTCACTTAGGTGATCTATTGGCCAAGCTTGATCCATTTTGTACATAAGATGATTCTAAACCTACCAAATAAAGTGTAAAACGAAAGGTGCAAATTGCACAAAGGTGTCTGGTTCACCCAGAACTTTCCTGATATTGTCTCATGCGCAACAGCTATGTATATTTTTTTAAAACTTTTGTCCAATTTGTGTCTTTAATACATTTATTTGAGACTACTATGTGTCTTGATCACAGTAATTGCCCTGTTCTTTGAAGCCGCCCCAAATGTCACATGCCAGAACTACTTTAACTCTATTACAGCACCTCCTCCGGTTTGCTGGCACCCTACAATATCTAATTTCTGAGAGATACCGTAGCTCACATCTTATTTTAAACTCATTTCTAGCAGAAGATGAATAGGTAGTCACTATTACTCAGCTTTTTTGTGCTACGGCACACTTTTAATTCTTTCTGACAATCATTTAAATTTGGCTGTTCTAATGAAACCTGCTGTAGAGAGGTGACACCTGAGAAGGCGTTTAATATTCCAGGGCCACCCTTTTTCGCAGTCATTCACAGTCTGTCCCGCTCTCGCTCGCCTATTCTTTCACTCCATCTCTCTGTAACAATGACAAGCCGAGCCAGGCGCCTGGGATTTACTAATTTCAAATTTAGTAATTTGGCTGCTGATTG